AAACGTTAATAGGTGTAGTCTGCTGAGATGCTGTAGCAGCTGAATAGGTGATATTAGGCTTCCTTACTAGATGTATTGATTTGCCCTGAGCTGTGTTAAAGACACAGCAGACTTATTACTCTAAAGTCTTGATTCTCACAATATAGTAGCTTTGCCCATGAGAGAAAATCTAAGGCTATGCTGGCTGTCTTGATAACAAGCCTGCTCTGTAGCTGTCGCTCCTGACTATCCTCTGTAGTTACTGTTGCCCTGAAACGCCCACCACATGTCCCTTTCTGTTGTTCTCACTCCTTCCCACTCGGACACTCTGCCAGCTTCATCTTCATCCTCTTTTCAGCTTCGTGCAGTTCATTGTGTTTAGTTTGAGGTGTTGTGCCCCAGCCAGAGGGGAGTGGTAAAAGTAGTTCAGTTGCGTGCAGGGTAGGCGAGAGAGCACTGGAGACGAACAGGTACTGGATTGGCATCAAGAAAGTTTAAATGAACACGCTGAGTAGAAGACGAACTGAGGGGATCAAAGCTTCAACTGGATTTCTGGGGTCTAATCTGGACAATAGGCTCTGCAGTCTCACAGAAACACCCTTGGCTTGCTGACTGTACAGCAACAGCAGTGTGAAGTTGTTCTCTGCATGAAGCGATCTGTTTCTCTTGCTGTTATCTTGTCAAAGATGATTCGCAAGCGTCTCTTTTTTTTCACAAAGCTGTTTGTTATTAATGGGATTCCATTCATTGTGAGATTCCTCAGTAGTTCAAATGAGTCACGTCCCAGTAGGGAATAATATGATAATTCTGGTTAAAATGAGCTAGTATTTTCAGAAAATACATACACCTGGTTGAACGCCAGTTTATATTCACTCTTCTGCACCGTTTGTTGTTGCTATTGTAGTAGTTTTAATTCAAAAGAACAGAACAAAAGAAATAAAAACACAACACAATAAATACATGGCCCAGTAACACGATAAGTGCATTATTCATGGTAACTCAATGGTTAATTGTATTTAATCACATCACCTGCATGATCTTTTCTTCACAGTGTCCAGGGAATGCTTCACATCCTTGTGGCTATGTGCGTGCTCACAGGCTTCTCAATAACAACAGCCAGTTTTGCCCTCTATGAAGTCACTGAGCACCAAAAAGGGTCCAAGAGGCTTCAGCACATCGCTGGCATCAGCGAGTCCTTCTACTGGATTGTAAACTTCATCTATGACATGGTAACGTCATATTTCTTAAATTGGCTACAATATTGAAAACCAAGTGTTCAACTTAATTTCATCCATATATCTTTTTTCAAAGTTATTAAACGAAGTGACTTTCTGTTGCTGCATTGTGCCCCACCCTTTTCCATAGGTCATCTATTTGGTCCCCGTAGCTGCGACCGTTGTTGTGATTGCTGCCTTCCAGATTCCAGCATTTACAGAACGCCAAAATTTGGGTGCCGTCACTCTCCTCCTGGTGCTCTTTGGGTCAGTAACTTTGAAAAAAGTAGATTCACCAATTGTAGCCACATTGTAGTTGTACTGGAGTGTATATTGTTGACAAAAATGTATTTGATAATGAACCAGTCCTTCATGTGGCTGAAAATTTTGAAAGACAATCTTTTAGAGATTGTTCTCTCTACAGTAGCTATACTACTGGATTGCTTTCCATTATGAAAGCAAACATTTATTTTATTTTAACTTAATTTGGGTATCATTCTGTCATATAATATTATAATACTTACTAATGGCTAAGGTCAGAGAACGTGACAATGTCACAAAATATGGATGCAACACAATAGCAAAGTAGCAGTTAGACAAGCAGTCAGATTGAAAGGTTTAGTGCAGGTAATCTTCGCTACCACTTCATAAAGAGCTACCACTAGGATAATGGTCTGTGCTGTAATGACTGCTTATGCCACTTTTAGTTGCAACATACAGTATTGTGCAAGAAAAAATGCTGTAAACAAAGAATGCTTTCAAAAATGGAAGTTTAATAATCATTTATTTTCATCAATCAACAAAATGCAGTGAATGAACAAAAGAGAAATCTAAGTCAAATCTATATCTGGTGTGACCACCCTTTGCCTTCAAAACAGCATCAATTCTTCTAGGTCCACTTGCACACAGTTTTTGAAGGATCTCGGCTGGTTGGTTGTTCCAAACATCTTGGAGAACTAAACACAGATCTTCTGTGGATGTAGGCGTCCTCACGTCTTTCTGTATCTTCATGTAGTCCCAGACATATTTGATGATGTTGAGATCAGAGCACTCCAGTACTTCTTGTTCTTCTTTGTGCTGAAGATAGTTCTTAATGATTTCTAAATGGGGTCATCGTCCTGCTGCAGGATACATTTGTGGCCAGCAAACAATCATTTATATTTCTGAAAACATTCTTTGTTTCCAGCATTTTTTCACACCTGCCTAAAACTTTTGCACAGTACTGTAACTATTTTTACTTACCTCTGAGTTTATTTTCAACCTGAACCACACTGAATGATGGACATGTTTATAAAAAAAATGTTTTAAGGGAACCGCATCAAATCTGTCATAGAAATGGTGAATGTGTTGTTCTGGCTGTTGCCCTGCTGAGACAACAGCAGGAAGTGTGTGAAGTTTCCAGAAGCATCTGCACTGCTCTAAACCAAACTTATTCATTGAATGGTGCTTTATGCTTGCAGCAGGCCCATCACCCTCAACATGAACCCAGCTCATCCAAGGAGTCAAACAGGGAAAATACTGATTCATTCAGATGGACAATACATTTCTTGCAGAGGACTTTCCAAAGTCAAGCAATCATTGAAAGGTTTATACATTTTCAAAAGCCTATCTCCACACATGCACTGCAATTCTGTGCCAGTATGTTGGATTTACAGCGCAGAGCATAAGGACGAGCAAACGCTGCAAACAAGTTTATTGTGAATTTCTTGCTAAGACAGATGGCAGTAGGACTGCAACGCTAATGGAAAATCACTGCCAACATGTTTATCCCATTCAAGGCAAAGACACTAGAGAGGGAGAAAGGGAGGAATCAGGAAGCAACAGGGCTTATGGCAATAACAGAATGACTTAGTATGAGATAGAGGTTAGCTATAATCTCGAAATACAAAGGTTTCAGTTCAGTCTGACAAAGAGATTTAGATTTGGGGATGGTATCAAAACCACTGATGTGTCATGTTTCGCCTCATCTGAATTACTGGGATTATTTACATCAATCCCCGAGCTGCTGCTGAGGTTTACACTCTTGTGTTTGCCGTTGTTGTTTGGAGGCCTAGTCCTGAGCCCTAGATTTTAGAAGGCCAAGTCAGGACTCTGCTTCTCATTTATCAGACAGATGTCTCCTTCCCAAGCAATGAGTAATCACAGTGCTCCATCTGTCAGGCTGCACCCACCTGGTCTGGTGTTCAGCCTTCTTGCTTCTGTTCCTTGTCATGGCTTGGCACCCACACTTGCCTACCAAGCACTTTTTTTGGGCAAAGCATGCAGATGCTTTGTCTCTGTCTGGCTCTATCTGTTTGTGTCTGTCTGTTTCATTTCCCACGCTGCTCTTTTTTTTTTTTTCATTTCTTTCTCCCCTCCTTCTCTTCCTCTCTGTATTGCTGACCCAGACTTACCAATCAAATGGACAAACAGATTATGCGAGGAAAAGAGAGAACAAAAAAGGGAAAATCTTTTTTCCACCTTGATGATATAGGGAGAAGTAATTTATCTTCCTCTATTTTGGCTTCATGACTGAATGTTTACCCTCCTTGTAGTGTGGTATATTCCACCTTCTCTTTTCAGTATTCTTTGCTGGCTTCTTTTTCTTAAGGCTCATAGCTATTCTGTCTGGCTCTCTTCAGACAAGCCTATATTTTAGAAGGTGCATTTGTAAGCAAGACTGCACAATTTCTCTTTTAATTTTATATTATAACCTTCTGTTTTCTGTATTTCAAACCAAACCAACCACATTACCGCAGCTTTGAAGTGCATCTGTGGAGTTATTTTTCTAAGTTTAAAATGCAATTATTCTGTCATCTCAGGTTTTCCACCTTCCCATGGATGTATTTGTTTGCCGGGATCTTCAGGGATGCAGAGATGGCCTTTATCAGCTACGTGTGCATCAACCTCTTCATCAGTGTCAACACCATCTTGACCACCTGCATCCTCTACTTTCTGGGTCAAATATCAATGCACAATCCTGAGGTAAGATTAACTGTAAGAATCAGGGGAAACTTAGAAAACATACCTTGCTTGTCCATTGACAGGAGAGTGAAGAATTCAAGATGAGCTCAGTTAAACTCAGTTTCACATCCTCAGATCTTGTCCCCTCTTCTGTCCTTCTCTCCTGTAGGCAATCCAGAAAATCTTCCAGAAGCTGAGCTACGCCTTCCTCATCTTCCCCCAGTTCAGCTTTGGGAATGGGCTGATGGAACTGGCCAGAGGTGACATAGAGGTCCAGATTCTCAGTGGCTATGGAGTCGATGCCTATAAGAACCCATTCTCCACAGAAGCTCTGGGATGGATGTTCATCTCCTCCATCATCCAGGGCCTGGTCTTCTTCACGCTGCGTCTTTTGATCAACAAATCTCTAATGCGCAAAGTCAGGTGAGAAACACAGAAGTCAGAGCTGGTAATATAAAGGAGAATATACATTCACAGAATCTTTAACTGAGATCAGTTTCATTTGCTTTCTTTAAAGGTAGGACGGACTTGCAAATGCACAAGATGTGTTTTCCGCTAACACTGATAAAGCAGTCTTCTTGTAGCCAAAAATCTGAAAATGAGATGTAATAAATGCAGATAATATGCAACCGGGTGGTTAAATATGCAACAGAGCAACGTTAAGTAATTAGAGAAGACAACTGCAAGTAAAATTAGATTTTTTTTTATTCTAAGTGGGCCAAGATTTTGGTGATTTTATTTTATTTAATTTTTTTGGGGCAAGGAACGGGGGGTGATAAAGCATTTATATTAACTAGAATGCCTTGCACTTATTTAAAAACAAAACAACAACGTTTCTGTATTGTAGGCGTCTAATTTGCTACATCAAGACTGTGCCCCAGGCGGCTTATGATGATGATCAGGATGAGGATGTGGTATCTGAGCATCTCAGAGTGGCCAGTGGAGCAGCTAGCTCAGACATACTGCAAGTCAACCGTCTCACAAAGATCTATCAACACCTCAGTAAGAAGGTCCACGCTGTCAAGAATCTGTCTGTGGGCATCCCTGCAGGAGAGGTAAGACTCAGAGACAAGAGCACAGAATACTAATATAGTAAAGCTGTTCTAAGGCAAGAGGGTAGCAAAATGGGGGGTATTGTGTAATAATGTCTAATCTCTTATGGCAGCAGCATAACTCTATAATTACCCAGAAATCACACAGCCTCCGTTTTGTTATTTCTGAAGAGCTGTGCGGTGGTACTAGTCGCTGTGTGGAATGGACTCGTCAAAGATTGGAATTTATGTAAAATACCAACAGCCTACTGTTATTAACACAGCTGAGGATTTGGAGTCACTGTTGGCGGCTATAACAAGCATGTACAACATTGTACATTTTAATATGGACTAAAAGACGGGCCAGCATTTTCATATTCTTCTGCAGTCAGTAAAAAGTGATCATTTTAAGCTGTCGTTTTAATTTACTCTCAAAGCCATTATTTTATTTTGACCAATTTCAGTCTAGTCTTTGATCCGAGTCATTTTTATTCTATTACTTCAGATGTCTGGTTGTATGAAAAAGTTTTCTTTGGACACACTTCTTTTTTACACAGTTTTGCAGCACTAAATACTGACCTAGCTAATCTTTAAAGAGCCCAGCTTTACGTCACAGTACTGCATAATAGCAAAATGCTTGAAGTTACTAAGAAACTAGTGTTTATTTTTAGTGCTTTGGCTTGCTGGGAGTGAACGGAGCAGGAAAAACTACCACCTTCAAGATGCTGACTGGAGACGTTAGCCCCACTGATGGCACTGCACAGATCAAGGACTGGGATGGGTAAGCTTTACTTGAATATATTTACTTATTTAACATGTGAATGTTGCCTAGTACATGTTTGTATTTAATCTGTTTTTCTTTATTACCCCCTTCTTCCACCACTGGATTAACTTAGCGGGAATATTTGTGTTTTTATGACCACTCATGCATCCTAGCTGCACACTAAAGTGATGCAGAGGTGTCAGGATAAGTATGTACACATTCCAGCAAAATAAAGATGACTTATAGAATTAAACATTTACAAGAAAGAATTTCATTTTATTGGTACAGGTGCATAGGTAATTCCAAAATTTAATTACGTAATGCAATCATTCACATATGAGGGATGTTATTAGTTTTTATTAGGGAAAATTTGAATATGATAGTTTTGGGATTTAGAAACTAGCAATTTTATCTTAAAGATATATCTGAAGAGCTTTCATACAAGTAGCAATGTACAGTCCTGCTGTGTTGTCAGTATATAAAGTGGATATTAGCAAGCTAGATAGCACCCCACAGACAGCAGATCCTCTGAAACACCCTACATGCCTGTCCCACATCATGTGGTGAATGCTGCTTAAGAAAATCTTTCTTTGTGTGTGTTTTCCCCCCAGACATTTGGTAGACATCATGGAGTGCCGGAAACAAGGAATTAACATCGGCTACTGTCCTCAAGTGGATGCACTGGATGATTTGCTCACTGGAGAAGAGCATTTGTACTTCTATGCTCGCATACGTGGCATCTCAAAGTGGGAGACAGACCGGGTAAGGAAGAGCTGCAGACGCAGTGCTGCCTATTGTCACTTTGCCAAGTGACAATAGCATTCAAAAAGTGACACGGGATCTGATATAAATTCAAAGGTGCACTTCCAGCGCAGGACTAGAAGCTGATGCTGCTCCTATGCATACTGAATCAGAAAGTGTGCAGCAATGAATGATGTGTGATGAAAGCTGTAGAATCTGTAGCGAAATGAAAAAGCTTTTGTTGTCAGCTTGCGCAGTCCAAACATCAGAATTGAGCTGATGTAGTATGCATTGCTGCGGAAAAATTTATATTTAAATTCTGCTTTTATGACGGGAGAATCTTATTTGACATGCCACTTGAGCCTCAATCTTCTCATTTATCATTCCTGAGAACTAATCAATCTTGCTTCTGTGGTGATTGCTGAGTGTGTCTGCTTATTAGAGGACTCTGCAGAGCAACCAATCAGCACGTGATGTGTGCTCAATATCAATATCCCATCAATATTTCTTTTTTGAAAGACAGAGAAGAACAAAAATAAGCAGCTCTTAGGAGTGTGAAAAATTGTGGAAAATATCATGACAAGCTGTAAGCGCTGTCTGCTTTTTTCTCTTCCTTTGCATCATTTTGAGGTCAGAATAAAGAACAACAAAAACATTGTCTCTGACAGTCTCAGGCATTTTACCAACAGAATTGAGCACGCACATTACCAAGTGTGCTGCATATAGATACACATGCTTACACAGACAGTAAAGCACAGAAATGGATCTGTCTGACACTAATCACCCTCACTGCTGTTGTTACAGCCCCTCCTCTCCGGTCGGTATACTGACAACAATGGTTATAATGGCAACTGCAGCAGCATCAGGCTAATTCTCAAAGCTGAGGTTATATATAGAGTTCCTCTTGTGTTGTCTCCTACTGACAGTCCCCTAGCTGTGCATAATGAGACAGGCCTTAATGGGGTCATTTTGCATTGACATGGTTTTGTTTGCTTAATGAGCTGTAACATCAAAGGTGATAGAAAGCAGCTTTTATGAGAGAACATAAAAACATCATATTTTGATTTGAACCTGCTGCATGAGGAATAGTCTATGTTACCAGTCTTTATCATTCACATAACAAAATACTGTGTATTTGTCTAGTATGAAATTGCCTAGTATAGAACTTTTAAACAGTAAAGCTTTAAAACAGTGAATGGTAATGAAAACTCTAGACAAAAGGCGAATTGTCTTACAGAGAAACAGCAGAGACTGTAAGTGAAGGTATCTATTGCATTAACTTGCTTCATCGATCTGGTTTCCAAATTTGCCAACTAATGGGAAAAAGACTAAAGCCTACCAATGGGAAATCACTTTAAGCTATTTGAAAATGTAGTTGTATTTACAGCACACTATTTTATTTGATTAACAGGGAAGCCTTGAAGAGTTTTAAGTGACTGAAATGTTTATAAGTCATTAAGGGTTTTTGATCCCTGCTGGGTTTAACACACAGGATCAACTGCCATGCACCAAATGGATTATACTGCATCAGCTTCTGCAGCCCCAGGACTGCATAGAGTTTAGATAGAATAAAGTCACAGTGTAAAGTCATCACTGCTGTACAAACATAATTAAATATTCATGGAAGTGGAATAGATAGATACCTTAGTTATTTGTTGTGTGGCTGTACTGGACGAAATGGGAGAAAGCAGTTACACGTGTAACAGGAACATAAAATTGGCAGTAAGAAATAGAATCACCCTTTACCCTTTATCATGTAAATCTATATTTTCCTATTGTGAAAACAAGTATGTGTAGTTATATATTGGATCTCCACTGAGGGTCTACAGTTGAGTTCTTTGCATTATCTTAGAGTCTCTACCTTACAATATAAAGCGTCTTGAAGTGACTGCAGTTGTGATTTGGCTGTTAAGGAACAGCAACTGTTTGAAGCTTTATCATGTGGATGAAGCTAGGAGCAGCATGGTAGTCTATAACACTGTCTTGTTTTGCTTTAGGGTGAAGGCAGGAGCTCAAACAGCCACGAGGAGCAATTATTAGACCTATCGACTCCTGTTACATCACTAAAAGACCATTACACATCTCCTGCAATGATTAGCAGTTTACAACACATTGGACATTCAGATATATGTAATACATAAAGAGCATACATAACATAATTTCTTTAGGGATTAATAAAGTATTCTGATTCTGATATAAACACGTATGGAAAAAGGCAAAGCAAATTTTATTACCTTTAATTACTGTTGTTTTCTATCATTAATCTCGTGCTTATCACTTAGCATGTAAAGTGTCTAAAAAGAAGATTACAGGTGGTAGTCCATGCAGTAATAAATAAATGATTTGCTTTGACCACTGGTGCTGCACCACCAATTAAAAAAGAAAACAGACTGCTAATTAAAAATATTACAATGTAACCTATCTGTGTAGTCACATTCTGGCTGGGATTAATGAATGCCAAACTAGAGTCCTCTCACATGTGCTGTTTGTTATTTTGTCCATCCACTTTGTAATCCCCTGCTTGTTTCCTCTGTAGCTGGTGAACTACCTACTGAAGAGGCTGCAGCTCAACTACCACAGAAACATTATTACCGACGGTTACAGTTGTGGCACCCGAAGGAAGCTCTCTACAGCGCTGGCTCTCATCGGGAATCCACAAATCCTTCTCCTGGTGAGAACACACCTGTTCACACTGCTGTAGCTGCACATTTAATTTCCTAACAAGTCACCAGACAACAAATATTAAACTAACTCTGCACCGTTCCTCCTGAAATGGTCTTTGAAGGAAAGCAGATATTGATCACTTAGACTTGACAGATCGCATATAGTTAATTAGTCTGCTTACCCAAGCTTACCCGAGGGGTGGTCTTGCCTGTAGCTTTTAAGTTTGTTTGTGCCTTATGTCTCCATCGAATCCTCTCTTCTCGTTTTCTCTCCCCATTCCTTTTTGTCTTCAGCTATTCCCTTTTCCTCCCCGTGTTTTCTTCAGTAACCAGTGCTCCCTTGTTTGATTTGTCTTCATTTCTCTGTTGTTTGCTCTGCATGCAACACTGGACCTCCCATCCCCATTCCTATTTTGCATTTATATATGTCTTTACTCTCTCTTCTTCGCTGATGCCTTTATGTTGTTTTGACCATTCCTCTATTCTTGTCTCATTCCTCCATTATCCACAGGATGAGCCAAGCTCTGGCATGGACCCTCGTACTAAGCGTCACCTATGGAAAATCATCTCTGAGGAAGTGAAAGGGAAGTGTGCCGTGGTTCTCACATCCCACAGGTTAGAAGATATCATGCACCCATCATATGACCTTAGCACAAAGGAGAGATTTATGCAGAGATGATTAGCATTCTAGGACAAAGCCATTCAATCTTTTTCCCACAGCATACTCTAGATAACAAATGCAATAACATATATATATATATATATATATATATATATATATATATATATATAATTTCTTTGTGTGTGACAGCTGGCATGGGTAATTACTTTTATCCTAATGGACCTTTGTATGACCTTTTATCTTTCCCTCCTTTCCCTCCTTGTCTCCAAATCTCAGCATGGAGGAATGTGAGGCACTGTGCAGCCGTCTTGCCATCATGGTGAAAGGTCAGTTCCGATGCCTGGGCTCCCTGCAGCACATTAAGAACAGGTTAGTGACCTCTTCTCATCCTACAACCCTGCCATTACTGCTCTCCACACCCTGTCTCCACTGCCTCTCTTTCTTGCCCCCCATGGTCCTTTGTGCAGTTGAATGCTCAATTTAATTTGTAAGAACAGTGCCCTCCACCACACACACACACACACACACACTCTCTCACTCCACCACCAGAGCCCCATGCCTCAGACATGTAAGAACTCTGCTTTGTTCATAAAATCTCCCTCGTGCAGGTTTGGCAGTGGGTTCACTGTGAAGATGTACTTGGCTGAGGCCTCCTGTGACGTAGGGAAAATCACTAGCTTCATGCAGCGCAGATTCCCCAGCACTTATCTCAAGGTGAGTTATCCAGAGCAGTCAAGAGTACTTGGTAAAAAAAGGACTCTTGACTACTTTGTGTGCATATATTTGAATATGCACTATAAACTCTAAAGTACACAAGGCATTAATGATCAATTGATAATTAATAAGGCAAGATACTCTTAAATTATGAGCCTTTTATGGGTATTATTTCCATCCTTTGTTATTTGCCCAACAAACTAATATAATAAATCCACAGATGTAGTGATTGTGACAAATCCTGGCAGTATTCTAAGGTCCTTTAGATCGTTTATGTTTCTGGTATATAATTATATATAACAGATGGATATATAAATATGGCTATATTTGTCAGTGTTTAAGGCAAACGTGTTAGCAAACAGTTGCTTATTTACACATCCAGCAGACATAAATCAGCATGAGCACTAATTTGGCGTCATGTTTCTGTCTGCCTCACTCCTTCTGTTCTAGTCTTCACCAACTCCTGAGGGAATGTGGGAGTGAACCAAAACAGCAAAGTTGTTGCCTCTGAAAGCGCTAAATCAGTCATTTAAGTATGGGGTTACCTTCCGAGCTGGGTGATAATTTTGTGTATTTGTCACTTTGATTAACCGTGTTCCCTGTACACGTTTGAGTCAGTGTTAATATGATAATAATGATCAGTGAACCATTAAAGAATCTATAAAAATGAACTTTGTCTGATACCTCGCTACCCATGTGGACTTTTCTTCATTATAATGCTGACTTGCTCAGCTAAGAATAGAAGGAAACTCATTATATAAGAACCTGCTGTGCCCAGAGCCCTTACCAAAAGTAAAGTGCGTATACAGTATTTTAAAAATAATGTAGATTTTCTACCCCCAAAATAATGTTTGCAGCATTGTAAGATTAAGAAGGATTTTATTTTCTTCATACAAGTGCAAGAATCAAATTATAGTTAAAGAAGAACGAGCACTTTCTTTTAACTTTTAACCTCACATTTGGCATCCTTTTTCAACACACAGGACCAGCACTCGACTGTGGTGCAGTACCACGTCCCATTTGCTCCTGGAGGTTTGGCTGACATCTTCGACCAGCTGGAGTCCAACAAGACTGCTCTGCAGATCAAGCACTTCTCTGTGAGCCAGACCACACTGGATGAGGTGAGGAAAAAAAGAGACAACGTAAACTGAGAGAGGGGAAGAACTAGTGTGAGGTTTTTGTAGGTGTGGGTTGATGGTGGCAAGGGACAGAAAAAAGAGACGGGGAGTGAGAGAAGAAGAGAGGTGGGAAAGGAAGCAGGGACACAAGAAAGCTGAGTGGGAGTGAAAGACATAGAAAGAGAAAGTTTAAAAGAGGCAGAGGGAAACTGACAGAGGGAAGGCCTCAGGGAAAATAAATGGAATATGAGTTAGGGTGAGAATCCAAGAGCTTTATATGCAGCCAGTGCTGATACTCTTCAACCACTTTACCCCTTTGAGGCTCGGGGATTGGAACATACTATAGGCAGAAGACAGGACAGGAGAGGTGGGGGGGTTGGGAAACTGACCAGCCAAAATTAAGCAGGTCAGAGAAAAATAATTGCCTTTCATATTGACATGGCTCTTACATTATTGCTGAACCTTCACAGGTCTTCATCAATTTCGCCATGGGAAAGATCGGCATTGAAACCATACCAACTGACGCCGAAGATGAAGATGAAGTACAAGCATAGAGCTGACTGCCATCTTTAGTGTGTGTCCATTCACACTAAATCTGACCTTAATATAGTAGAAAATGTGACTTAAATGTTTGGGGGTTCTTTTTAGGAATATTATTATTTTTAGTCACTTGACTGTGAATATGAAGGTTAAATTACACTTTTTTTCTTACCAAATCAAACTGTTGATGAAAAGCATAAGAATACATGGCCAGTCTGCATACACGAGTAGATGAAGTGAATAATTACTCTTCTACATAACACTGTTTGCATGTTCACTTTGAATCATTCAGGTCACATTATGTATGACGTTTGCTTTAATTATGTAGTCTGTTAATTTCTCTCTGTGGATAGGGTTCTTTTTACCTACCTACCTTTACCTAGAATATTAGACCGTAGCTAATAAAATATTTAGAATGATTTTTAATTTAAGGTCATTGGTGGCAAACCATCACTATACAACATCACAACATACTCACTTAATAAATATATAACACAAACAAAAAGTAATGTATTTTTTTATGTGAACTATATATAATTCTGCTCCTGAGATGAAATTTGACAAAAGAAAATATTGACACCGAGAGCTTAATATGCACTTTCCCCTCACTCATTAACACTTTCTCCAAGGGCATATGTAACTTCTGGAATGACTGTACTGAATATTTAATAGACTTTTTTGCCTATGGACCTGCTCCATGTGGTATTAACTACATCAAGCCTATTTTTATAATTTAATAAAGCTATTTTTCAAGTGCAGCTGCTGTTCATTTGCCTACTGTTTATGCTTCTACTATTTTTCTGCACTGGGACTATTTAAGATTTTTGATTTTGCTTCAGTGGTCAATATAAGTTATAAAAACATTGCAGATGTATTATTGCATTTCTACTAATACTACTATTAATTCATTTCAGTTCTATCCATTTAGCATCCGTTATTTTCATATAACCAGCTATTTTGTGCTTTAAGGCAAACACCCTAACATTCATATAATGCCCTAAGAGCAAACACTTTGCGACACTGGGGAAGACCGTCCTTTTTACAGGAAGAAACCTAAGGAAGGGTTGAGAGAGGTAGCATACTGCAGTGACTTGTGAAGGGAAAGGGGAGACAGAAATAAGAAGCATAGAGAGACCAGAAACAACAAAAAAAAAAGTTTCAGGAAAAATTTGACAAAAGTTAATAACATGCAGTACTGGTATATAAACGCACACGGACTGAAAAAAAGGGGAGTGGAGGAGACGTACTCGGTGCATCAAACAAAGTCTCTCAAGTACCTTGCACCTATAATAGCAGGCGTTAAAGGCTAATCTTATAAGCGGAAAGAGTTAATGTCTTCCAAGCCCGAACTAGGATCTGGTTCCACAGTAGAGGGGCCAGATATCTGAAGGCTCTTTCTCCCATTCTACTTACATAAACTACAAATCACAAATAAGCCTGCAGTTTGAGAATGAAGTGCTCTGTTGGAATGATATGGTGGTCCCATGGTAAATGAGGTCTATATAAAGTCTGATCATTCAGGGCTTCGTGCTGAGGAGAAAGATTTTAAATACAAATCAGGATGAATCAGGGTTTTTTTCTCATCCTAGTTTTAGATGGCACATTAGTGGCAGTGTTTTGGATCAATTGAAGCCTCTTGTGGGACCTTTTAGGAAAAGAAAAGTCTATCATAAGGAATTACAGTAATCCAGCCCAGATATAACAATTGCAAGGACTTGGTGTTTTTTGAGCATATCTGCAGAAGAAAAATCATTCCTAAAGATCTGTTTAAAATGCCAGTCAAAAGAGGAGTCTAGGTCAAAGATTATTTTTTTAAGTGTAGGATATTAGCATAGCCTAAAGAAAATCTTAATGACTAGTCTCAGAGATATAGAGACAAATGGATAATACAAAAATACAAAAAAAAGAGGATAGGAAATTGACAACTGATAGAAGATAACACTTCTCTGTTTTTTCTGATTTATTGTTCTGATTACATGCACAAAAATTCATCCATAGGTTTTAATAGTTCACAATATATAGATTTCTGACACATTAGCTGGTAGTTAGTGTTTGTGTGTATGTATATATATATATATATATATATAAATGTGTAGGAGACAGGAACAGGGAAGTGTACTGGTATCAATTTTCAAGAACAAGTGATGTGCAGAGCTGTAGTAACTACAGAGGGATAAAGTTGATGAGCCATGCCATGAAGCTATGCAAACGAGCTGTTAAGAGCAGCAGTACACCTTCATGCCGAAAAAGAGCACTACAGATGCAATGTTTGCTTTGAGAGTGTCGATAGAGAAGTACAGAAGCGTAGAAGAGATTGTGTATGTGAAGGTTGTGAAGGACATGTATGAGGATAGAGACACAGTGGTGAGGTGTGTGGTAGGAGTGAGAGATGAGTTAAAGGTGGGGGTGGGATTACATCAGGGATCACCCTTGAGACCCTTCTTGTCTGCAGTGGTGATGGACAGGTCGACAGATGAGGTGTGGACAATAATGTTTGCACATGACAATGTGATCTATAGTGAGAGTAGGGAGCAGGTGAAAGAGAGCCTAGTGAGGTGGAGGTATACTTTGGAGAGGTGGAGGTATTTTTTTGTAGAACTGAGACAGAATACATGGGTGTGAATGAGAGAAACCCAGGTGTAGAGGTGAAGTTGCAAGGAACAGAGGTAGTGAGGGGAGTGTAAATACCTGGGGTAAACCATCCAAAGTGATAGGCAATGCACAAGAGAGGTATAGAAGAGAGTGTAAGCAGGGTGGAGTAGGTGGAGATGAGTGTCAGGGGTGATTTGTTAC